CCCCTCCCCACACACCCCGCCCATGACTCCAGCAGGCTCTCGGGTGAAATTGAAAATGAAACTTAACTGTCTGCTGCTCTCAACATTAATTCTCTCTCAGTGAAGCTCTTTTCAGATTAAAAATATCTTTGAGGAAATGTATTTTCAGATGCCAAGTAAACTGCATCATAGCACACGCGTTATGTGTTTCTATTTAAACATAAAAACAGCATTTTAATAACAGCTAAAGATGACATAGATACTTTATTATGGTATAGTATTTAAATATATGCCTGAGAAACACATAATATTGGCCCATTAAAATACTGTTTGGTCAAAGTTAAACATGAAATGTCAAAGTTCTTTACAACTGGTCCTTCGAGGGCCACCATAACACTCATGTGGCCCTCGGTGAAAATGAGTTTGACACCCCTGATCTAGATGGTGGATTTCAGAGGTCATACCCAGCATCTTGCTGACATAAGGCTCGATGTCCACATCCTGCAGGTGCTGGTAGGTGTGTGCGTGAAACAGCCGCAGAGTYGAATCCAAACGGATGGACACCCAGATACCGTCCCCGACCCAAGCTAGCTGACGAACTTGACTCTCTTTGCGAGGATGAGCGTCAAAAGACTTCTGCTCCGACGAGGAAGATTTACATTGTGAAAAGGTTAACGTTGCTACAAGACAACAGGTGATGTGATTTACATGATAAACGCTGTACCTCTATCCTCATGGCTTTGGGCTGGATAACATAGATCTTGTTTCTGTAGCCGCACCACACCTTGTCGTGGACTACAGTCATGCAGCGGATGGAGTGGTGGGGGCGGCCCAGATCCAGGAGGTGGTAGTTGGTTAGATCCCACTGACCATCTGCAAAATGAAAATAGAGCGAAATGTCTCATTATTACAATATTAGGAGGAAAAGTGCTAAATATATCTCCCTGATATTTATGTTACTCTCTTACCAGTGCCTCTGTGGAAAATTGCTAATGTCCCATCAGCCAAAGCTACCAACACCCTCCCTTTCACATGTCTGCAACACAGATAAAAGAAGCATTATAGCATTTTTACTGTTTGTATTACTATATGTTTGATATACAAGTAGAATAATACCTGCAACTTACACTATGCTGAGGATTGAGTCCTTCAGCTTGATAGCATGAAGACATTTCCTCCATCGTGCAACAGACGAATGCACATACAGACTTATACAGAAACAAGGAGACATTAAAGTCAGTTTTAGGTTGAATTTTTATCATAAATGATTTCAGGTAAACGCTCAGATCATTTTAGCTGCAGTGATAGCTCCCTCTGGTGGCCCATGCCTCCCTCACCATCCGTTCTGAGCTCCGAGCCACATAGTGGGCAGAGCGCTGCTCGTCCTCGGGACGTCTCCCTCTGATGCTTCTGTGTCTTCTGACTGAGAGGCCCCACTGCTGTCCTGCCCAGAACCCCTGAAGGCAGACCAGTCAATAGTTATATCTTATTTATTTATTTTTAATTTGTTGTGCCTAAGAATCAGGTTTATTTTGTTTTTGATTTTGATTTTTAAAAACTTAAAAAACTTAAAATATTAAGATTTTTGTATTTTTTTTTATTCTGTAAAATCTTTAAATATTACATCAACCTCCAGTATCATGAGAAATGATGGCTCTCACCTCTGGGCTTCAGCAGGACTGGAGTCGGTGGGTCCCACCCCGAGCGGGTCGGTAAAGACGTGCTCTGTATAAATCCCTGGCTGGTTTGGATAGGCTCCCTGATCCTCCTCTCCCTCTTCGCCCACACCGGCGTCAGCCTCGGTGGCTTCTGTTGCCTCTTCAGCTGTGGGAACCCCGTCCTCGGCTGGACTCGTCTCTCTGGACAGCTCGACTGTGGGAAAATGTGAAACGATTGCTATCTCGGAGGAGACTTCGACTTGTGTTTTTGTTCACTAGTCTAGAGTGGTTATAGACAATAATAGGTCAACATTTATTTATTTCCCATAAAATATGTGTTTCACAATCAACAAACTGAGCAATGAGCCGCCAGTTGAACAGTTATAGAGGATAGGTCTGGAAAACAGTGTTGTTTTTAACTGCCATTTTAATTATAGTCTTAGTCTTTTGAATAAAAATACTTCTTAGTTTTAGTCAGTTTTAGTTATTTCTATATTTAATGGTTTAAGTCCAGTTTTAGTCAACGAAAACTTAAAAAACATTGTTTAGTTTTAATGTTAAAAAAGACAACATATTAGTCTTTACAAATTAATTTGAGTAATTTGTGTTAACATTTGTGAATTTGTGTTACTCTAAAAATGCCCAAAATAAAAACATTCTCACTTTGTGGCTTTATTTCTCAAAATTTGCTAAAGTGCAATGAACATACACAATATAATAAAATAGTGAGTCCATATTTTTTCCCCTGTTCTTGATCAATAAAAGTAACATTCACTGACTTCCACAATGTTTTCTCTTCATTTCTTTGAGTGTTCCTGAAAGACAACAAGTTGTACTTTGGAATGACCTTATTACTGTATCATTTTGATCTGAGTTTGTTTTACAGAATGAAATGTCTGAATGAGTGCTCAGCCAAGACTGTGATTCCATMCTTTTTGCCAGGGGTTGTATTAAACTTGCGCAAACAAGTGTTTACATGCACCAGGCTTTCATTCAGAACAGAAGCACTGACATGCGCAGTTGCTAACTCCCCCTGGCCAAAAAAAAAAGAAAAAAAAAACACAGAGAAGAATTTTTCTTTCATCATGAAAGTAAACAAATAGCTTCTGAGCTCAGAATGGACCTGCGACAGCTTTCAATAGTGGAGACGTTACTCCCTGGTTAAGCTACAGGTGATGGACGGTCTTTTTTTGCGAAGCGGTGCAGGCTGTGAGAGAACGGGAGGAAATGTTCTGTGCTACTGTGTGTGCGTGTGTGTAACAGCGCTGCTGTCCCTCCCTCCACTCTGCATTCTAAATGATTGACAGACCACCGACTAACATTTTCGTTACAGTCTCGTCAACGAAAACTCACACACGTTTCGTCAAGTCTTAGTCATCAAAGAGCTATGTTTGTTTTGTAACCGTCTTATTATCGTCATGAAAAAAGGGGGCGTCAACGAAAATATTTCGTCATCGTTAACGAAAACAACACTGCTGGAAAATAACACCAACTGCATGCAGAGAACTACCTGAGCCCGACACGCCGCTGTACTCCACCAGCTGCTCAGAGACACCTGAGCTGGCAGTCTGAGCGACCGCGGTGACCCCTTCTGTCGCCACGCCACCATCGCTGCCTGTTGAGCCCACGCTGGCGACGCTGCCAGCCAGCGACACGCCATCACCTTGGCTGGCCTCTGAGTCCTGGGATGCCCCATCTCCTCCTGGGTAATCTGTATCCAACACACCTGGAAAAGCAGAAAGAACTTCATGAATAAAAGTTCAAAAAAAGCAAACTAATCAAACAGGACATGAACGCTCATCCTACCAGGTACGCTGGCGATGCAGACGACGTGTGTGTTGCAGGCGTAGAAAGTGTCGAGCAGTTCGGTGGGCTGGGTGGCGTCCAGCACCAAGACCTTGGTGGAGGAGTTGGTGCTCATGCACGCCCACACCGTACTGGACGTGTCGTCCTGAAGAACCAGCTCCTTCTCCCCTTTCTCCTGCTTCTTAGAGCGACCACACCATCGATACTTTAAAACTCTCTGACATCACCACATTACTAAAACAAGAAATTTCCTAAATCGCTTGCCTTGTTCTCCTGCTCCAACTGGTCCAGGCTGCACTGTGAGCCCTTCGTCTGCTTGGAGAGCTCAGATGATAAAACCGTTCGACCCCCAGACAGGTTGACCCCTGCAGCACACCACAGCTGAGGAACACAAGTAAAAAATGGTATAAATATACAATTTTCAATGAATCTACTAAAGCGATGCTTAATCTTCTTACTAAATCCACATTTTAATAAACCGTTTATTTACGCACCTTTAAAGAAGCATCTTTCTGGTCCAAAGGTCGCAGGTAAACTGGTACTGGTAAATTCATCTTATTTTCCACTTGTGTCCCGTTTGCAACCTGTAGGAATAAAAGCAGCCAACTAGTTAAGATTTTATTCAAATTTATTAAATTTGCTAAAGAACCCCCCTGACTGACTAACTCCTTTATTCAGGAATTGCATCATTATAGACCTGAAAGTTGTACATTTTTTAAGATTGCAAAGCTTTTCTCAAATTGTACCTCCAACTATCCAGTATACAGTATTATTAGGCTTTCACACAAAATAGTTTCACAAGCAGATCTTTTTAAGACACGTCTGATCATTCACAAATACACTAATCTGTCATTGTCCAATGAGAGTGACTAGGMCTGTCATGATAATAAATTTTACTGGACGATAATTTATCTCGTAAATTATTGCGATAAATCTTGTTTCATTTTAAACTAACATAATGATTCCCCATCCCCCACTAAAAAAGTTACCAACTGACCTGGACCAGAGACTGGGAAAACAACAAACAGCAACAGCTGCTGAAGCTGTAAAATCACTACCAACTTCATCGATGTAAGTAAACACAGTGTTTTCTGTTTTCTGTATGTCTTCCTCTGGCTTCATAAAATAACTGTGGTCACTCGCATGCTGCTTACGAAGTTTACGTGGTGTGAAAAAAAAAGAACTTTCAGAAAACCTAACATTCGGCACAATGCCCCGAGGGCGTCCTGAGTCGTCGCCAACTGAAAGGCGGCGAAAGAAAACCGAAGAAGCTCCTCTTGTTAAACGTCTGTTCACAGGGCTCTCATGATACACAGCTTAGAGACCATGTCCCTGGCAAATACCTGACGCCAGAGTTTCCTGCTCCCTACGCTAAGGAAGAGAAAAGTGGGAGACACCAAGAAACCAAACAAGCAAATGAAAATGTTTATCTCAGTTCAATTTATCGAGTGATTGATTTTTTTTTTTTTTTTTTTGCTTATTGCGACAGGCCTGATGGTGACAGCAGCTCACTTGACACCAACTCGGGTCTGTGACTACCAAGGTTATAATAGTTTG